TTTGTATTGATGTTGTTCACTGCTTTGAGTCGCCCGAGGGCTGAGAAAAGCGGTATATAAATAAAGTAAATAAATAAATAAAGTAGGATTGTACAGTTCCATCTGTCACTCACACCATCAAAGCCTGCTTTTTAATCTTCAGTTCCAAATTTCTTTCTGTTGGAGGTTGTAAATGTAAATAAACTGAAGCTTTACCACTATTTCTGAACCAAAATATACCTTGCAGTATAATAATGTGTCACTCAGATTTGTGTAACGAGTAACAGTAACTTTACTTCAGTTCAAAAGGTCAAATAGGGCAACAATATATACAGCAGTCTCCCTGAATTCTTACAGATAACAGAGGGAATAAACAGTCATTTTAAACATTCTTTAAAATATGATTCATGCCTTTAAAATGATCAGGCTTCAGAAAGTTGGCAGCCATTTCCTTCCTGGCTGTTTCCAGTCAGCGCTCTCTTTACTCTCTGAGGTGAAAAATTGCAGTTAAAACCTTTTCTCTCAGCAGCAAGCTAGAGACAGTAGCCAATCAGAATTCTGGCTCCTGGCATGCTCAGCCAATCAGCTGCTGACACATACCTTTCCAGTCAACCCATTACATCATGGTGCCTTTTTACAAATCCCCACACTTTCCATTATTAGATGTTCTTCGTGTCAGTAAAGAACAGCTATCCAAGTTTGGAAGTCTTAGAATCCTATCTGCAATATATTTTCATTTCCTCAAGTAAATCTAGAAAACTAATTTAGAAAAGCCACCTAACATTTGAAAGATACTGTGATAAAGTGGATTAAAAATAAATGCATCTGTCAAGTAAGAAATTTAGGTACTGCTTATGTGGGGAGGCTAATTTAACTCATTTATGATGCCATAAAAAACTCTCCAGCATCTGCAAAAGAATGAGGAAGTACTCCATCGGTGAATGGTGAAGTGACAGCTCCCCCGGTGGCTGGAATTCAAAAAGCATACCATTGTAAAAGCTGGGAAGTTAAATAGCCTCTGTGTCTCTGTCTATATATGTTGTGTGTCTATGGCATTGAATGTTTGCCATGTCTGTGTGCATTGTGATCCACCCTGAGTCCCCTGTGTGGTGAGAAGGGCAAAATATAAATCCTGCAAATAAATAAACAAACAAATAAACAAATAAATAAATTCTGTCAATTTGTTGTAAAACATGATGTTTTGGTGCTTAATTTGTAAAATCATAATGCAATTTGATGTTTAATAGGCTTTTTCCTTAATCCCTTCTTATTATTCAACATTTTCACATATCCAATATTCTGCCAGCCCGTTGCTGGATAAGCAAGACTCTACTGTATAACCAATGGACTAGCTGAAGGCCATTCCATGGAGAGTGGTCAGCTTTTCCTGGCCTCCACCATTTTCCCATTCAAGCATTCAGAAAGGTCTTCTGCCACTCTAGTCAGAGAAGAGATTGGCTCCTTGTTTGACAAAAGGCATAGTATTAATTCGTATTAAAAAAGAGCCAACCTCTTATTTTAGTAGTACTGTGAAATATGAGAAAAATCCATCCCAGAAGAACCTAAAAGAACCACTTAAGGACCCTTCAAATGCCAAAGAGCTGCTATTATTTATTTATTTATTTAATACACTTGTATACCGCTAATATCTCAGCCTAAGTCAGCGACTCATTGCGGTTTACAACAATTAAAAACAATATACAATTTAAAACAACAACACATAGACAATACAAATTATTGGGCCACCAATAATAATACCATGTATCTCGTCACTAAAATCACAGTCCAGAATTCGTCATCCATAATTAACCAGTCCTTAGTCCATAAAATTCGGTGATAACAAACTAACCGAATGCTTGTTTACACAACCATGTTTTTAATCTCTTCCGAAACACCATCAGCGAAGAGGCTGATCGTATCTCTATAGGGAGGGTGTTCCAAAGCCGAGGGGCCACCACAGAAAAGGCCCTGTCTCTCGTTCCCGCCAGCCACACTTGGGAAGCCGGTGGGATAGAGAGCAGGGACTCTCCGGAAGATCTTAGGGTCCTGGTGGGCTGATAGGCTGAGATACGTTCGGATAGATAAGTTTTATTACCACCCAAGCAGTGGCATCACAAGGGTTGGTATCATACCAGTGCAGTTACATGGTGTCACCCCCATGGGCCTCCTCCTATACCACCATCCCTGTGCTGCATTTTTCTTTCTGAGCTAAGAGAGCAGAGGGATGGTTTATTCATGAGCATACATGATCACTCTTTCCCGCATTCCACCCAGGTCACTGCCTGACCCACCTATTGTTGCTGCGGTAGCCACTGACCCCTCTTTGGCCAGTTAAGCCCCTGCTCAAACTCCTATCCCATTTTGTGTAATAGAAACCTGGTTCTTGTAAATAGTGCAACCACATTATTTTGCTATAAAGAAAAGCCTCCCATGGAAGATATAACACTGGCCTGTGTGTTTTTGTTCTTTTTAGCACTTTGGGCTACTGGTGCTGGGTCACGCTGCTGCTAATAAGTTACTCTGCTGTACATTTATGAGGAGGGTCTTTTGTTAATAAGCCCACTCATCCAACAGAACTTTTCTCCAGAATCACATTTCAAATATGTTTTCTGAATGTGGCCTGCCACGTCATTTTATGTGGCCAATGAGACTTTCAATGCAAGGGCAACATTGTTACATTTATACAGTTTTACACTTACAAACAGCACTTTGAAGGGTGATGTGGCCCTTGGTGAAAATGAGTTTGATACCTCTTTCACACCCATAAATAAAAATCAGAAATCCTGTAGCTTGGCTGTTTCTGAAATATCTTCACAGTTGAAGATCCTACCAAGTCCCTTTATACCTCTGCTTCTGATTTCTTGATTACAGACAGAGCCTAGTTAAACAAAATCTTCAACCATGTCCATGTTTATATCACACACCTTAACATTATGTAAATCATTTGTGGTCATTATTCTTGTTTACTTAATGTTTATCTGTAATCCTGCTTTTTCTTCCTCAACTATCATCAATGCCCTTTCCAAGCAACTTCTGTTTTTTATAAGTAATATATTGTCATCTGTATATCTGAAATGGTTCCTTAAATTGATGATGTTTACGAGACAATCCAAAAGGGCTCATTATTGTGCTAATTTTAATTATGTTTTCATTTATTTTGTTGAAAAAAGGCCCTAAAATTTGAGGGAAAATCATATCAATGTGCCTGCAAAAGCTTTTTGCCTTCCTAATAATAAGCAAACATAGCAAATAGATGCTACTTTTAATGAAAAATAGCAGTTCTTTCAGTTGTTACATTACTTTCAAAAGAAAGATAATTTGTCCTTCATTACGTACATGAAAAAATAACCTTACTCCTTATCTGCGCAAGGAAAGCACTGTTACTTTAGACATTATGGGAGGTCCAGTTATGTAACAATGCAGCACTTCCATCTCTCCAAAAGGAGACCGAGCCAGTCTTGTATTTACTTATTGTTTCGGTGCAACGTATGCTCAACCAATGGCCCCATGGTGCAGATTGTGCAACTTTATTTCATCTTCAAAATGAAAATATGAATTTGCATCAGTGTAAACACAACTGAAGTTGCATGTCAAAATATAAACGTATTTTCATTTGCTTGTGTAGTCAAGTACTTTAATCTTTTATATTTTGTGAATGTCTATTTCTGAATTTATATTCCATATTTTAATAAAGTGCACAATATTGTCTATTCCTGACCAGGGCATTTTAACCAAATGTGTTTTATTTTAAATGTTCTAAACTGCCTTGTCAGTTTTTTCAACATGCATTTGAATAATTAAAAAAAAAACCTGAAATACACAAAATAAAACTTTTTAGTTCACTGGCCAGACAGTGCTGACATTGTAGTTGTGTTGGTTAACAATGCCTAATTTGTGAAAAATGATGTTATAAAACTGCATTTATACTAAGAAATATGTAGAAAACTATTGTTACATGAATGTATGACTAGCATTTGAGAACTATTCAATGACTTACTTACTAAGAATATATCAGAAGATGAACGTGCAGGAACAATGTCTGAATTAAGTGGGAAAAGAGAACACAGACAAACCACATAGTCTTAGAAGTAGGAGGAGCCATAAGGGTCCTTCAGTCCACCCCCCTCCCCCAATCATTTAGGCAGAGATATCTCAAGCTCTTTGGAGGTAACCTGCATCTAAAGACCTCCACAGAAAGAGAGTCCACCATTTTCTCTATAAGTTTATTCCAGCACCAGGCAGTTATTATCATCAGGAAGTTCTTCCTAACGTTTACCAGGAATCTCCATTGTTGAAATTGAATCCTTTTGATTCTCCTTCAGAGTCCCATAGTTCTTTGCAAGAAATATCCTGGACTATAATTTGTTCTCATTTGGATCAAAAGGAAGAGGAAATGTTGAATGTGCTTAATGGGTCTTGTCAAACTCTGTGTTATGACATGGATTTTCCTCCTTGAAAAAGAGCACATCTTGCAAGGCATACTATCAGGTTGTATAGTACTATTTCTGATCATCTCAGTAGGGAACCCCATACCACCACCATGCATTTCTTTTCCTCTGGGAACTAGCAGATCTTCCATAGAAAGAACTCTCCAAGCCCATCTCCATACTCTCTTTTAGCACCACACCCAATGAAATCAATTACTCCTCTCAACAGACAATCCCCCCCCCCCCCCGCTTACATGATGAATTTAGGGCAAGCAGCCCAAAATAAATAGAATTTCAGCCTTAATCCAAAAGACAAAAACTCATTTTACTCTGCCTCTTCCACAAATCTTATGCAAGAAGCTTGTTTCCTCCTTCTGGTTTCCCAAGCTCCAAGTAAAATAAGCACCTTATTATTTAGTTGTCAGAAATGCTGTTATTAAACCAAGAAGATGACATTCCTGAATGAATTAAAAACTATTATTCTAAATGGTTTGTGTGGCAGCCTTATTTTAAAGCTTCAATTACACAGAAACGTTCAAAATCATATTTGCAGGAAATTGACTGGGAAGGGCATAATTAGCTTAACCAAGCAGTCTATACACCAGCTGCACCTGGAGTTATAGTTGGAGAAAAAGATGCCATTATGTTATTTCAATCTCCTACTGTCTCCTAGCTTGTATTTTTAAGTATAGGATTTTACTGTTACACTATACATCTACCAGAGGTAAGCCAGCTTTGTTCAATGGGGCTTATTCTCTGGTGAGAGTGCAGCCTAAATGGTTTAGTGAGGAAAAAAAAAGATCTAACAGAGGTCTTCAGTTCAAGTAGGAGCAGTCCCACTTTTTTCCATTCTCAGGAATGGAGTTGATTATGGCAGCAACTGCTTTCTTTTCAGTGCGAGGAAATTTATATAGAACACTTCAAGAGATACAAAAACTCTAAAGTGGGTCAGACTTTGTTCTAAAACATAATAAATGAAAGATTGACAAGGCATATCAAGCTTTTCAAGAACAATTAAAATCAATGCAGTGTTTGTAATTTTAGAAAATGACAGATCAGACCCTGCGCTAGACTATAATATTACTGCTGTGAAAGAATTTAATGGAAGTGCACATGCACAAACTTCCATGCAATTGGGGTGCACATGACAGTGCAAGAGACAAAATACAAAGTAATCAATTAATTAATTGTTTATAAAGATTTAAATAATAGCATAAACAAAGCAACTAAAATATATAGTTAGGCATGTAAGAGTATAGGAGAACTCAGCTGCGGATTTCTCAGGATTGGTTATGAACTCAACAATTTTTTCAAATTTATTAGAACATTTGTAGCATGAAAAAGAGTTTTCCTAAAGGAATGCCTTTAGGGTGCAATGGTAAATGACAACTTTAGGTCTTTACATCAAGGCTGGTTAAGTGGAAAGCCATGGGTTCACATCTTGCCCCAGCAGACCTTGGAGCAACAAATTGTTTGCCACACTCACCACAGTCCCCCTCTCTCCAAAATGTCCTTCTCTAGAGGGTATAGCATGTATTTTTACCATGGTTTTTTTTTGCACTTTCCTTTTTCAACAGCAGATGAGTGGAAGTCACTTCCTGTTTCAAAAAAGACTTCCCCCAAGGTCTCCCAAAACATTATGGAAATATCTCTCGTCACCCACCCACAGAGAGCATTCTGGGGCAAGAGTCTTCAACTAAGGTAGATATGCCCTTCACACATCCCAGAAGCCATTTTTGAGCAAACAACCCTTTAAACCTCCAAGTTGCCTATATGTAGCCTACACTTGCCCATCACACTGTTCCAATATGCTACGATTTGTGGACACACTTGCATACGTTTCCACATTTGGGAACACTAGGAGCCAGGCAAAGAAGAATGCTTTAAACTAGCGGGTCAGTGGTATTTTCAATTCCATTGTTCCTATAAGGCTTGTTCACAGTAGTTGAAAACTTCCACATAAACACTGTTGGAAACTGACATGTATATTCTGTATGTCTGGACTTTCATATGGGTGCTATGCAGAAGGAAGTGTGAATCTGCCCAAAGATCCACTTTTCACTACTACCTTTGATATGATAAAGTTAAACCAGAAATGACTTTTGTACTGTCTTTAAATCCAGGAATGAGAACAAAAGAATATGGTGATACTGAATTTTACGTTATTTTTCTTGACTGCACCCCCCCCCAGTGTTGTTACATTATGTCAATCTGCATGATAAAATAGAGCCCAGGATGGATACTATTACTATTCCTACCTATTTGCACTGTGACTTTTTAAATGTAGCATTTTGCCATAAGTCTCCACAGTTTTTATGACTCAGCAAAGGCTCTATAGCTAAACTGATGAAGTAGGTATTAAAGAAGTGCTATCAAAATTGCCTTCCAGAGTGGCCTTAAATCATGAAAATGGAGGATGGTACTTCTCTGATAGGTTTCAAAGAAAGGTAGGCATAAAACAGAATCTCCATCTTCTTCTCAGTCTTTCAAAAACATTGCACATGGGTTAAAGCAAACAAGAATTGTTATCTGGAACAGTGGAGAAAGAACTAAATGAACACATTAATAAAGCACACTGCAGATGGTGTCATGGTTTTGGCAAGTGATGAGCTTCAAGATGACATGCACAAACTGCTTGTTAAAAAGTGCTGTCCATTGCTCAATGGAGTTAGGGCTGATCAATACCAAGTCTTTATGATTAACTAACTGAAGAGCAATGATTCACCTGAACTCACAGTCCTTGAGGCAGAGAGGGGGCAGGGAGGAGCAGGAAAACATAAAGAGAGTCATGACGGTGTCAAAGAACACTGAGCGGTCACTGAAGGGCTCTGTCAGTTGTGCTGATCTGAAAAATTTACAACATCCGCAGGTTGATTGAACTGCACAAAGATCAATGGAGACTCAGCTTGACATTCAAAAATTTTATATTATTTCTTGCAAGAGCCCCTTCTGCCCTGACAGAAATGCATATCCTTTAACTGTAAATGTCAAATGCAAAGAGTGTTTACTCCAGAATGCAGTGTACTTTAACCAGATATTTGAAACTAACCAATAGCTGCCTATGGCCCGATTTCGACTATCTTGATACTAGGCACAAGCCGAAGCCACACACAAAAATGTGGATGCATTCCCTCAAATCAGAAAGTGACTGAAAATTCCTTTCCATACTTTTAAAAGTCTAGGAAATGCATCCTTTAGTAAACTATCACTCTTGGAATGGTGATTCGGCTCAACTTGAGCATCATCTCCCTTGGTAGCAGTGAGGTATGTGGGGCCACCTGCAAGATTTGAGTGATTGCTCACTCTTGCTTCAAACAAACCTCTCACTTTCTGTAATGAGGACCCTTCATCATGTATCTGACTCTTAAAGCATTTCCAGATTCGATAATGGGGAAAAGTATGTTCTTGATTGCTGGCTAAAAGCTCTCTGATTTTTTTGTAATACAGTTTCCAAACAAAATGTTGCTTAGAAAAAAACCAACCAGGGATTGGAACAATTTGACAGTTTCATCATAAGTGAAGCTATTTCAACAAAATAGATGTACTGATCATAATGAAGAAATGAATCTTTAGAAGTATCAATTTACCTTTAAAAATGCTTTCTTTTCCAAAGAATTCATAATGAAAGGGGGAATGGCTAGAGAGAGAGAAAAAAAACATGATTAAAAAATTAAATGTAATGTAATATGATGTGTACATATGGGGGAAGGGAGGGAGAAGACTTAGAATTCTCTTATAAAAAGCAATATAATCTATACATACATACACATACTGTATATAGATAAGAAATGATTATTTAAAATTGGGAGAAATGTCCACATGAAGTACAGATGGGATGGTTACCCATGTGAAGCAAGAATACACAGAGAAATACATGTACGTAAATAATTAAAGTCTTTACATGAACTCAACAATGTTTTTCTGCAGGTGAAATACATGCTGAATCCTGCCATCCTACAATCTACCAGATGAGCCTCAGTTTGCTACAGAGTCCTGGGGGAATCCCTCGGAGGGCATCTGGAGCTATTTCAGACAACACAATGAAAGTGCTATGATTCCACTAACTTCAATGGCTGCATAGTTATTATTATTATTATTATTATTATTATTATTATTATTATGTTTATACCACACTTTCTCTCTCTGCAAAGTGGCTACAAAAGAAACTATAAATATCATGGAATATCCAGGTTTGTAGTTTTGTCAGAGGCAGCAGAGGAGCACTCTGGCAGGGAAATCTACATGCCTCTCCCTAAACTGCAGATCCAAGGATTGTATAAGACACAATCATGGCAGACAAACTGGAACCATGGTGCTAAAACCACGTAGTGTGAATAGCATGGGGTGGGGGTCGGGGAGGGCTACAGGGAGGAAGAGAAGAGGAAAGGAAAGTCCTATTATGTTGTGTGGTAGTCTCCTTGCATACTACATTCAAATAGAGTTTCTAAAATATATTGGACTATGATATAGAACTCTGGCTGTAAGGATGTAGTCAACATGTGCACATTGGACTAATAGAGGAGAGCTACAAGATCTCTCCATAGTTTATTGGGTAGGTAAAGAAGCCAGAAGCAGGGCAGCACACAACAGTCTGGCAAACTGAAGAAAAATACAGAACGGCAAGCAAAATCTTTAGAAGCACATGGTTTCATCATCACCCCTACAAGCATTAGGCTTAAATTGAACTAACCCATGCCTGGAGCAGCCATAAGGATCCTCGAGACAACCACCTGCACTATGGCCTGTTGAGCAGCTTTGGATGATTCACCCAGTCGGTTTCCATTTTCGTCTGTAATGGGAATACCATACTTTAGTTCCCTGTTGAGTTTAAAACAAAAAGAAAAAGACAAACAAACAAACAAACAAAAGCTGAACAATTACCAATTTTTATTCTTAAAGGATTATATCGAAATATACCTCCATATTTAAACAGTTCATTTCCATCTAATCTAAAATTCTAGCAAATAATGTCTGAACATTAATGATTCTCAAACATAATTTATTTTTATATTCATAATTGTTTGGGCAGAGTGATGAAAGTATAAATTAAATATTAAAGCTACATTTCTCTCTCATATGAATTTTCTTTTTAAAGTTGGGCCAATTTGTGTAGTCTGCATGAGGAATTCTAGGGACAGTTTTTTAGTGGATATAACTGATGCTTTGTTCCTTCTGCAGCTCTTCTACTCCTTGCGTAATAATTAAACTGCATAGTTCCAAAAGTCTACAATCATCATTATAGTCAATCCCATACTGTTAAGTGCATTCATGCAAGAAGCAAGCATCTCATTGTAGACTTTTCCTCATGCAAAATTTCAGATTTTTAAAAAAACACAGCACTGAGCCAGGCAAGCCACTAGGAAGTCATGGGCGAGTGACGCCATCTTACAGAATCATGGTAATTTCAGCTGAGTCTTCTGCCCACAAAAGGAAAGGCAGGATACAGAAGTGGCTAATAATAGTGAATACCCACAAAATTAAAATAGAATTTCAAATCATTCAGAAGTTTTCCTATTGACATTTAACTATAAAGTCAAAAATGTTAAACCTTAGGAAGACAATGCAGCAGTTAAAAAAAGTATCCTATTCATCTCTGAAACTCCATTTTTCTTTAGTTTTTGGAAATCCTAGCCAGTAAGGGATAAAAGTTCAAATATGGGGTGTGTCTCCACAAACACTTATTTATCTATTTTAGTTAATTGATATTTAACTGGCCAGGCCAAAGTTCTAAAGTACACATTTTAAAATCCGTATGTGAGTTGTTCCAGAAGTCCATCATCTCTCCAGAGTTTTCAAAGTGTGAGTCAGAGTCTATTTCTCCTTCATGGGGAAGGAAACATTGAGTACAAGAAAGAAAAAGGACCATTGACAGGCAAAGTCTTCACTCTAAAGCCTTATCCTAATGAGTATGTCTGGGGCTGAACACAACGCATGCAATTGCTATAAAGATTAGATGTACTGGTGATTGATAGTATGTAGCAGAGAAGTGTGACCCATCTCCTCCTTGACAATGAGCTGGGAGCCTGAATGTTCCTCCTTTCCTCTGGAGGGAGGACAAGGGTCACAGTTGGAATGATTCTCTGCTGTATGGTATGTGATGCATCATCTATAAATCTAATCTTAACATATTTTTCCAAACTAGGTCACAAATATAAATAAAGCATATTGAACTAGGCCATGAATACAAATAAAACATTCACTTTACAGGATATCTGTTAACATTTTAGTCAAAAAGCTAACAAGACTTCAAAACCCCTTTGAAGGGAGGATCTGGTCAGCCCTGTCTGAAAGCAACCAATCCCAGACTAGGGAAAGCATTGTCAAAAACATACAAGCAAATGCTTGTCTTTGTGAGAGGCAGACACGATTTGGATTTGATATAGATAGGGTTTGGATTTGAGAGATAAGGAATGGATAGTATAGAGAAAAGGCAGTCCAAGGACAGGATTTTGACTGCAGATTTAGGGAGCTAAGATTGATTGAGAGTTCAAGGGTTGACATATCTGCCTTGGGTCCCACTCTGGGGAAAAGGTTGCATGCAAATAAATAAATATGGCTTAATAAACTTCTGCTTGTTTCTTTTTTATCATTATCTCTGCCTGTTTTTATTAAACTTGGTCACCCCAACCAGAGTGAAGCTACAACACAGTCATATAAGAGGTCACCCTGAGGCCAAGGTATCCAGTCTAGAAAGGGATTAGGTTGCAAGTAAAGGCAGGGTGCGTGACAAAATTCCAAGGGTTGAAAGTGTGAGGCCAGCTTGAAGAAAGGACCTGTCATATCATCTTCCTGATGGCACAACCCCAACAGCACCACATGATTTTATCCAAATCTGCACACATATGCCCTTTGAATTTGTCCTCAACTGTCTTACTTCAACTTCTCAAATTGTTTTTGTCTGGTACTCACACATCCCAAAAGGATGATAAATTATCCTATGCAGAAACACATGTAACATTTTTTTTCTTGTAGAAAAGACATGGGAACCCCCTGCCTCAATCATTTAGCACAGACACATCAAACATGTACCAAAAATATTTCTGCAAATAGCTATTTTGTCACTGAAGGGATTTCTTCCCCAATTTGGGGCGTGTGTGTGTGCTGAATGATGCAAAATGACAAGGTAGGGGGCCACCATGGAATGTATTGACTTATCACACATTTGCTCCCTTCAGAGGCCTGATCCCATGTGGGCTAGTGAAGCTTAGTGGGTGACTGCATTAGCATGCTGGGGTGTGGTGGGAACTTCGCAAAAAAAAAAAAAAAAAAAAARGGGGGGGGGKTAGAAATTCTCCTGCAGCTCAGCTTCCAAAGCAAGCTAGGAAAGAATCCCATAGCACTTTGACAGCCCTTCTTCTACAGACAACATCCATTTCCAAAAAGCTCTAAAAGGAGAAGTTCTCTTTCCATCTTACCTTTGTCTCATTAATGGGATATTGATGCAGTTAGCAGCAGCGACAGCAGCAAAAGGAACAAAACGTCCTATAAGAGGTGAGACATGCTGTGAAAAAGGAGAGGACAATTATCTAAAGATGAGAAGTATTTTCTTTTCCCCATGATTCTTCTCTTAAATATCAATGGGGTACCATTTAGGAATCTCATCTTAGCTATTCTTTGATGACATGCTGATTGACTGAACATACACCAAACCATCAGAGAATGTATGCCACTGGAACAGGTATGTCCTGATAATATTGGTTAAAAATCAGGTTTGGGGATGTTATACTTCCAATTGCTCAGCTAGCCTGCCTAATAGTGAATAGCACCAACATCTAGAAGGTCACATGTTTCTTTCCTGATAGAGAACATTTTAGTAGCTTTTAAAAGGTACAATTTGTATGAAGCGGGGGAAAGGAATAAAAATCCTGGGTTATCCTAGACTTGTACAAGTTGAGTACCTCAATCTGAAGTTGTCCACATGGGAGGCTGAGATAGGTCACTTTTGCTCTCTGATGGTTCAATGCTCACAAATTTTTTTATGCACAACATTAAAATATTAATAACATTACATTTAGGTTATGTGTACAAGGTGTATATGAAACACAAATGAACTTTGTCTTTAGACTTGCTTTCCAACTTCAAGACATCTCATTATGTATGTACATAGAAATACAGGTTTTCCAAAATCCAATAAAATCCAAAATCTGAAACATTTCTGGTCCAAAGCATTTTGGATAAGGGATAATCAACTTGTACTTAGATTCAGAGTTTTTAAAATGTGATTCTATTTAAAGATATGTGACTTTTTAAAAAAAGTAAATTTATTTCCAATGTAGCTTAGTCATTCCCTGAAAGCCTTTAGAAGCTATCTCAGTCTGCAGGAAAGACAACAGGTGCCTCCTTGTTTATTCCTGGTAACATACGGTATTCCCTCTGACTTAAGCTTTTGCAAACCAAACCATACATAGTCAGATATATGAGGTGAATAGTGACAATGTATACACTTTGTGAGAGAGGATTTGAGATTTTGAGCATCACTAGTTCGGAGAGTCAATTCTTCTAGAGAATGATATGATGTTTCTGATATGGTAAGCAGAACATGATTAAATATGCCTTCATCCCAAATAACAACATTGCCCACTCCAAACCCAGTACTTGGTGGTAAGTGTAGAAAGGAAAAGCTAAATGCTGGTCCCTTTTCAACAACATCTACTGTTATGTGTGCAGATAATACACAGGACATGAGTCACTTCTGTACTGAAGCAAAAAGACTAAGTCACAAGGACTCAGTAATAAGCTTTCAGATATGCAGACTACCGGATATGCAGGGTCGGAATGAACAAGTGAATTCATAAGGTGTCACAAGACCTTTTCTTAATCTTTTGATGACTATACAAATCATTAACTAAACAGTTTTGACAACAATCAAAAGCTCTTCCTGTCACAAAATAAAGAGAGGAAAGGACAGAAATACCTTTGTTAGTGCATTTAGTCCTAGAGCAGTTGCAACAGCACCTGTGGTAGCAGAAACATAGGCTGTTCCCAGCTGGCTGAAACAAAAATAAGAAAATATGCATGTGCACAGTCATTGTGGGTGCTACATTTCACATGTGTTCAAATTTTTAAACAGGAATTATGTAACTAGCATTGTATTTACAATCCAAGGTTCCCTTTCCTGTGGCATCAAAAACTGATGTGTGGTAGACATTTGAAACTGGAGATCACCACAAGTCAGAAAGAATGTGAAGGCACACAGCAAAGCTTCCTTTCTCTTAAGATAACTCAATGGAAAGACCATCTCTACACTGAGGGTTGTCCTCCTACCACATAGTGGCAAAGCACATGGTGCAAAGGCAGCAGGTCCCAGGCACGGTCCCTGCCATCTCCAGCTTAAGTAATCTCAGTTGGAGAACAACTGCCAGCCAGAGCAGTCCATAGGGGACCAGGCAGACAAAAGTCTGTTGGTTTAAAGCTTCATATGATGTCTTAGCAGGTACCCTTATTTAGTATGGCAAATTGTGGCACCTCCATCTGCCAACTCCTCTATAAATCACTGGCATGGCTTGTTTCTTTAGCACAGTTTGCTCTGCCAGGGCTATCAACCAGGTGTTTTGACTAGGACCTCTTCACAAGTAAAGGTGCGCAGGGAACCTCAAGGCACCCCATCATACAGTAGGCATGGGACAAGATGCGTTGACACCCTGTCCCCATCAGATGGGAGCAAAGTGTGGATAGCTCTATTGAAGCTATCCAAAACACAAGTTCCTCCCTGTGGTTGAAAAGGAAGTGCCTTCTGGCACTTCCCCTCCATTTTGGGTGGAATGTGGGAGGGGCCTGCTGTGCATCATCTGATGGCGCTCGACAGGCCCAATCCAAGCCACAAATAAAAGTGGCAAAACAGGCCTATTTTGCCCTTTGTAAAGAGGTTGTAGGTAACTTTATCCACTCCATCTTTAATCTTTTTGTTATATTTTAAATGTGATTAAGCCACATAGTATTTACAAGACAACAAAAAAACTGAAGACTAGAAAGGTCAATTCAATATGCCAGTTGGTAGTGCATCAGTTCCTAGCAGATACAATCCACATCTAGAGTAGATTGCATTAATGGCCTAGTTAGTCATTTACACTATATAACTATGTTATTACCAACATGCAAATACATTGTTTTAATAGCAAACAGAACTAGCAGAGCAGTCATGCACCAAATAGTATCTCGTCTATAACTGAAAACTGCAAATCAAGGACTTTCAATGCTTAGAATTCATTATAATCATTGTTTTATAATCCATATTACTTCTTATTTTTCCACCACATTTTACCTTGTGCTTACATATAGTCATCGCATCAAACCATTATATGAAAGACTACAATGGAAAGGTAGTTTGATCCAGCAAGGTAGTTTGATCCTTTGATCCAGCAAAGGATCACCGCCTTGTCGGGGCGCTGGAGCTTGAGCACCTCAATGATGTCATGAGCGAAACCGTGAAGGGACACCCAAGACGGGACGGTTGTGGCAGAGAGGTCAGGCCAAGCGTGATCCCTGGGGAAGGCAATGGCAAACCACTCCAGTATCCTTGCCAAGAAAACTAAATGGACCAGTACAACCAGAGATATGTCGGTATGCCATTGGAAGATGGGACTCCAAGGTCGGAAGATGGCCAAAATGCTACTGGGGAGGAGCAGAGGATAAGTTCAACTAGCCCCAGATGTGATGACGCAGCTAGCTCAAAGCCGAAAGGAAGGCTAGCGGCCGACGGTACTGGAGGTGAACGACGAATCCAATGCTCTAAAGATCAACACACCATAGGAACCTGGAATGTAAGATCTATGAGCCAGGGCAAACTGGATGTTGTTATTGGTGAGATGTCAAGACTAAAGATAGACATTATGGGGGTCAGAGAACTGAAATGGACTGGAATGGGCCACTTCACATCAGATGACCACCAGATCTACTACTGCGGACAAGAGGAACATCGAAGAAATGGAGTAGCCTTCATAATTAATAAGAAATTCGCTAAAGCGGTGCTTGGATACAACCCAAAAAATGACAGAATGATCTCAATTCGAGTGCAAGGAAAGCCTTTCAACATTACAGTGATCCAAATATACGCCCCAACCACAGCTGCTGAAGAAGCAGAAGTAGATCAGTTCTATGAGGATCTGCAGGACCTACTGGATAATACACAAAAAAGAGACATTATTTTCATTACAGGAGACTGGAATGCCAAGGTGGGAAGTCAAATGACAACAGGGATCACAGGCAAGCATGGTCTGGGAGAACAAAATGAAGCGGGACGCAGGCTGATAGAATTTTGCCAGGAAAACTCGCTGTGTATAACGAATACTCTCTTCCAACAACCTAAAAGACGGCTTTACACATGGACCTCACCAGACGCTCAACACCGAAATCAGATTGACTACATCCTTTGCAGCCAAAGGTGGCGGACATCCATCCAGTCGGTGAAAACAAGACCTGGGGCTGACTGTAGCTCAGATCACGAACTTCTTATTGCCCAATTTAGAATAAAACTAAAGAGATCAGGGAAAATACACAGACCAGTTAGATATGATCTCACTAACATTCCTAGCGAATATACAGTGGAAGTGAAGAACAGATTTGAAGGACTAGATTTAGTAAACAGAGTCCCAGAAGAACTATGGACAGAAGTCCGAGACATTGTTCAGGAGGCGGCAACAAAGTACGCCCAAAAGAAAAAGAAAACCAAGAAGGCAAAATGGTTGTCTGCTGAGACACTGGAAGTAGCCCAAGAAAGGAGGAAAGCAAAAGGAAACAGGGATAAGGGGAGATATGCCCAGTTAAATGCGCAATTCCAGAGGTTAGCCAGAAGAGATAAGGAACTATTTTTAAATAAGCAATGCATCGAAGTGGAAGAAGACAACAGAATAGGAAGGACAAGAGACCTCTTCCAGAAAATTAGAAACATTGGAGGTAAATTTCAGGCAAAAATTGGCATGATAAGAAACAAAGATGGCAGGGACCTAACAGAAGTTGAAGAGATCAAGAGAAGGTGGCGAGACTATACAGAAGATCTGTATAGGAAGGATAATAATATTGAGGATAGTTTTGACGGTGTGGTGAATGAATTAGAACCAGACATCCTGAGGAGTGAGGTTGAATGGGCCTTACGAAGCATTGCTAACAACAAGGCAGCAGGAGACGACGGGATCCCAGCTGAACTGTTTAAAATCTTAAAAGATGATGCTGTCAAGGTGATGCATGCCATTTGCCAGCAAATATGGAAAACACAAGAATGGCCATCAGACTGGGAAAAATCAACTTATATCCCCATACCAAAAAAGGGAAATGCTAAAGAATGCTCAAACTTTCGTACAGTGGCCCTTATTTCTCATGCCAGTAAGGTAATGCTCAAGATCCTGCAAGGAAGATCCAGCAATACATGGAGCGAGAGTTGCCAGATGTTCAAGCTGGGTTTAGAAAAGGTAGAGGAACGAGAGACCAAATTGCCAATATCCATTGGATAATGGAGAAAGGCAGGGAGTTTCAGAAAAACATCTACTTCTGCTTCATTGACAATTCTAAAGCCTTTGACTGTGTGGATCATAATAAATTGTGGCAAGTTCTTAGTGGGATGGGCATCCCAAGCCACCTTGTCTCTCTCCTGAGGAATCTGTACAAGGACCAAGTAGCAACAGTCAGAACTGACCACGGAACAACAGACTGGTGCAAGATTGGGAAAGGCGTACGGCAAGGCTGCATCCTCTCACCCAACCTTTTTAACTTGTATGCAGAACACATCATGCGATGTGCGGGGCTTGGATGAATGCAAAGCTGGGGTGAAAATTGCTGGAAGAAACATTAACAACCTCAGATATGCAGATGACACCACTCTGATGGCCGAAAGCGAGGAGGAGCTGAGGAGCCTTCTAATCAAGGTGAAAGAAGAAAGCGCAAAAGCCGGGTTGCAGCTAAACGTCAAAAAAACCAAGATCATGGCAACAAGAATGATTGACAACTGGAAAATAGAGGGAGAAACCGTGGAGGCCGTGACAGACTTTGTATTTCTAGGTGCAAAGATTACTGCAGATGCAGACTGTAGCCAGGAAATCAGAAGACGCTTACTTCTTGGGAGGAGAGCAATGTCCAGTCTCGATAAAATAGTAAAGAGTAGAGACATCAGACTGGCAACAAAGATCCGCATAGTCAAAGCCATGGTATTCCCTGTAGTAACCTACGGATGTGAGAGCTGGACCTTAGGGAAGGCTGAGTGAAGGAAGATAGATGCTTTTGAACTGTGGTGTTGGAGGAAAGTTCTGAGAGTGCCTTGGACTGCGAGAAGATCCAACCAGTCCATCCTCCAGGAAATAAAGCCCGACTGCTCACTGGAGGGAAAGATACTAGAGACAAAGTTGAAGTACTTTGGCCACATCATGAGGAGACAGGAAAGCCTAGAGAAGACAATTATGCTGGGGAAAGGGGAAGGCAAAAGGAAGAGGGGCCGACCAAGGGCAAGATGGATGGATGGCATCCTTGAAGTGACTGGACTGACCTTGAGGGAGCTGGGGGTGGTAACGGCTGACAGGGAGCTCTGGCGTGGGCTGGTCCATGAGGTCACGAAGAGTCGGAGACGACTGAACGAATGAACAACAAACAATGGAAATGTAATAATAATATTAGCTGAGCATTTTGAATTCTATTACTACAGTAGAAGCAGAAGGCCATTCAGGTGCAGCAGTAGATTACTATTTCAAATCTGTAATGGTTTTGCCCCTTCTCAAAAAAGTTAACCAGCATCCTTATTCCATAGGCAATGTCATGTTCACCTTAGCCTTCCATTTCATAGGGAGATTGGTTAGGAAGTGATTCCCTACTGGTTCAATGAACCAACCTGGCAATATACTGCCTCGATGAGATTGTATTGACTGGAGCATTAAAAAAAATCACCATGGTTAAACTCAATATCATATCCCCTGAAAATCTGCTTCAGAGGGTACATATAATTGCCGGGGAGGAGCAATGCAGGAAAGGGCATCATTACCACCTACTTCTGATGAAAGGAAACAGCTTCATCTGGCAAAAACACCGCTGCATGCAATTGTATGCTTGCACAACCTTTAAGCCATTTGTCAGGGCAGCACATAGCTAGGCTCTACAGTAGATCTAAATTATAGCACTGGACTATAAGGACCATCAAATACAACCCCCTGCCATGCAATACACAATGAAAGCATCCATGAAAGTTGACCATCCAACCTCTGTTTAGTAGTATGATTATTTTACCTGACAGTAATTGGAGCATCTCCACTTCTGTTGGTATAATTTACAATGGCATTGAACGACTGGTTAATCCACTGCCAGAAGACCACAGCTGGAGTAGTTCTTAAAGGAAGAAAAATACAATTACAATTTGTTAATCTTGGGAGCTGAATTAAATTAACTATTATTTTTCATTCCCCCTCCAGAAAATTATTTTGCATTGTTATAGCAATTTCAATGCTGCCAATGAGAGAGCCTTGCTGGTTTGTTGGTAAAACTTTTTAAAAGGGAAAAGGAGGGGGGCTAGCAGCACCATTAAGATGAGCAAATTTATTTTTACATGGTAATGGTAATGTCCCAGCATATAATATACTAGGATATATTTTCAGTCAGAGTCACACAATACAATTACAAATGTCAGGACTGAATCAAATTCCTCACAGCATGTAAAGAAGAAGCTCATTTTAAAATATAAAAACAACATAAAGATTTGCTGTCGAAGGCTTTCATGGCTGGAATCACTGGGTTGCTGTGAGTTTTCTGAGCTGTATGGCCATGTTTCAGAGGCCTTCTCTCAGAGGCGGCCCTAGGTAATTTTCAACGGTAAGCAAACAGTATCCCCCCCCCTCCCCCAACCAATCACTGATATATATTTTCAGTTTGTCATGGGAGTTCTGTGTGCCATATTTGGTTCAATTCCCTCATTGGTGGAGTTCAGAATGCTCTTTGATTGTAGGTGAACTATACATCCCAGTAACTACAACTCGCATATGTCAAGGTCTATTTTCCCCCAAGAGCGCCTCAAGAGCGCCCCTGCGCAAAATCAACTATACTGCAAATGCTTACTTTGCGTAATGGGTTGAGCCGCCCCTGCCTTCTCTCCTAACATTTCGCCCACAACCTTGGCAAGCATCCTCAGAGGTTGTGAGGTCTGTTGGAAACAAGTGAGGTTTATATATCTGTGTAATGTCCAGGGTGGGAAAAAGAAGTCTTGTTTGTTTGAGGCAAGTGTGAATGTTGCAATTGGCCACCTTGTTTAGCATTGAATAGCCTGGGAGCTTCAAAGCCTGGCTGCTTCCTGTCTGGGGGAATTCTTTGTTGGGAGGTATAAGCTGGCCCCAATTGTTTCTGGAATTCCCCTATTTTTGAGTGTTGTTCTTCATTTGCTGAAGCAGCCAGACTTTGAAGCTGCAAGGCTATTCAATGCTAATCAAGGTCATCAATTGCAACAATCACACTTGCCACAAACAGACAAGAGTTCTTTCTTCCACCCTGGACATTTCACAGATATATAAACTCCACTTGCTTAGTTTCTAACAGACCTCACAAGCTCTGAGGATGCCTGCCATATATGTGAGCAAAGAGCCAGGAGAGAATGTTTCTGGAAAATGGCCATACAGCCTGGAAAACTCACAGCAACCCAACATAAGGATTGCTTCACAAAATTGTATTTTTTCCCCTACATGGTGCATATGCAATATGTAAATGCCATAATCTGAATATTTGCACAGGTGCAATTTTTGGGCTGAAGCAGTTCTAAGACCTCCCTCCAGGTGTGTCAACCTGTTCCTTCACTGTCAGCACCTCACAAATTGTGTCATTAGAAATCTTGGTCTGAATACCCTCTCTTCTGTTCTCTGAACAACTTCCCAAAAGGTGACATTTTTGAAATCTTATTTTGAATGGCATGACAAGAAATGGATAATAGGAGCTAACGTAAATTCTAGTATAAAATTGTACTAAAGAAAAGTAGGAAAATGATCCTTTATGCTTTAGTGAGTTAGTGTTCAGTGTATTAGTTTGTATTCATGGTTTTAGTCTGAATGCAATGACTTAATATTTTGTTTTAGTATTGTGTTTGAGCTTCAGCTTAGTTTAGTTGCAGTCTTTGTTAAATATATATATATATATACACACACATATATGCTTATCTTTATCTCTTTTTCTTTTCTTTGTTTCTGCTTTCCTTTCTTTTCTTCTTAAATGCTGATTAATTGTTTGAATTAAAACTAATAAATAGTGATTGAAAAAGAAAAGTAAGAAAATTTTGCCAAAAGCCAAAACTTAAATTGAAAAATTTATTATGAAACATATGAAGTTGAATGGTGCTTCAGCTGCAGTATCCAAAAACTTAAAAGTACAGACAATAACTCCTACCTATATCATTAGAAATATTAAGCTTGGTTTATAATTTTAGAATGTTTATCGCAATTGACAAGATTACAATTTTGCACCTTTTTAAAAACTTCAGTTAAATATATTTTTTTGGCACATGCAATCAATAAAACCCTGCCAAGATGTGTATAATTTCATGGCAGTTAACAATTTTCCTAACAAATGTCCGAATGCGTTGCAAATTCCTTTCTCATTAAGAAATAGAAAGTTTGTAAATATTCATTATGTTCCCAGAAACAAGCTTATTCCATACCATTGTTATTCACTAGGCCTGGGTAACAACGGAAAAATTTGTTTCTAAAATCGATTCGTTATTTGGGGTGTTTTTTTGTTTCGATATTTAAAATAATTACAAAATTTTCCTTTTAAAAAGTTTGATATTTACGAAATTTCGTAAATGGTGAAAAAAATAACGAATCGATTTCCGAAACAATAACGAATCGATTCGTTAATGGCGGACGCGACCGCGAAATACGCTAAAAAACCTCCAAAACCTTCTGAAGCTTCCCTCTCCCTCTGTTGTTGACTGTTGGTGTGATATTATAATTTTTTTTCACTAATTAAACAAAAAACAACCATAAAACTTGTCCCCAGACATGCGGAAATAATAACGAAACGACCTCAAAACAATAACGAAACGAATACAATAACGAAATACGAAGCATTTACAAAACATATTTAAAAATTCGTTTTTTTAAAAAATGCTCCAGAATGGTTCGTTATCGTTTTGTAATTAAAAAAATTAACGAATTATTAACGAATTACGAATTAACGAAACGAAACCGCCCAGCCCTATTATTCACTAATAATAATCATACATGCTTACTTACCTATAAAAAGTCATCATGCAGCCTGTAATAGTCATGTTCATAGGCACCTGAGCAGACATGCGACCAATCAAAACCATCTTTTCACCAGTATCTGGATGAAAGGCTGAATCATAGATATATTTTGCCCTCCAAAGATCATCTTCTGTCAATCCGGGGGCCACAATACCTTGCCTTAGGATAAACAAAAATCATGCAAATTATCAATTGTAAATATGAATCCATGTATATTTCATGTCCCAAAATTAATAACTTCATTTTAAAAAGGCTGGAAATACTTTGTCAATAGGATTGTGGAGTGGCTGTATTTAAGAAAACAGCCACTCCACAATTTGTGTAATAAAAATCACTGCTACATCATCTATTGTTGTGACTTGCCCTTGTTAAGTTCACATCCAGGTATAGTTTTCTGCATTTTGTGGCTACTCTGGTCTTATTAATTAATTGTGACAATGCCCACTTTAAGTCCTTAAATTGAATTGAGATTAAAAATGAACATCATACCTGTAGTCATGAACAATTTTCCTTGCTTTTTCCAGCTGTTCATTGGATAGCAAAATATTCCTTGGATCAGTCACAGTGAAGAAATGGCTCGCTCGTCCAATAAATGTGCTTTGATCCCAGCGAGGCTCTTTGATGTTGATGTCTAATGATATGTCCGATGACATTTTCTGAATGATAAACAGAGACAGGTATAGATTTCAGTTTCAGAGTTCTGTGGAGCCCAAGTTTCCGTGTATTTACAAATGCTGGTTCTCTGACACCATTCTCTGAACTCCTACTAGGAGAAGAAAAACCTTCGCTTTATCTGACTTAAGGATCTAGCACTGAAGCCATGTCAATGCTTCAGGCTCCAACAGCTTTCATAAGGTTTTCAGCCAATAACAACATGTAGGTGAAGAGCCATGTGCACAGACATTTATGGAAAGAAGGAAAGATGAGTTGTGATTGCTTGTCCTAATCCCTTTGTGTTTGCCTGTATCTGAGGAGCCTGGATGTACTGTGCATGTGGAGTCAATGGACACAGAGACAGAAGATGAGAAACTCCCACAACTGGATCGAAATATTTTGCCACCTGAGACGGAGCAGCAAACGGCACACACCACCTTGCCCTGGGCAAAACAGCACTGCACCCAAAGTTAGCCAAGCAATCCCTAAGACGAAAACCAATGAAACAACTAGCATTTTGCTTTCTTTTTATTCAACTGCTGTTATCATGTATCAATTATGTATAAAGAACTGGATAATATGCATCCTTCTTTGATACATGGCACCAAGCAGCTAACAATACTCTTGCTGCTGCTTTCATGTATCAAATAAGCAACCCATATTTACTATCCAGTTCTTTATACATTATGCCCCAAAAATACATTACTGGCAACATTATAACCTATGTTTAACACATTAATCTTAGACCACTAACTTTTAATCTTCTTACAAAGGTGGTACTTCTAGATATAAATTTTAGACCAGTAACATTTTGCCCAATAGGAAAAAGAAGCATTGTCTTGACATCTGCATTTGTTTTAAACTTTCTGGGATACTTCAGACAACTTATTTGGGGTTAGATAGGCAGCAGATCCCATCTTATATTGGAAGGAAAGTAAGATCAGCCTTGGTTAGTACTTGGATAGGAGGCTGCAATTGAATACAAGATGCTGCAAACTATATCTCAGAGGAAGGAACTGGTAAAACCACCTGGGAATTCCTTGCCTGAGAAAACCTATGGGCTTGAAGGCACATACCGCAGACATACATACTCTTACGTAGGTTTTCGTTTAACTTACTGCACAAAGGATATTTTATACATTTGGACTCCATTCCCCCCACATATCCATATGAGTCTTCTGCTCAACATTTTGGGTCTACCTTAAGATGTTCTTTTTAACAGTTAAGCTTCCATTTCTTGTTACAAAAAAAACAAAACAACAAAAAACACTTTTGCACTTCTTTAATAATATGATCATTTTCTTTACACAACTCTAAATAGAATTTATTTCCTTTGCCCTCCATGGCTGCATTTTATAGAATCATAGAATCAAAGAGTTGGAAGAGACCTCATGGGCCATCCAGTCCAACCCCCTGCCAAGAAGCAGGAATATTGCATTCGAATCACCCCTGACAGATGGCCATCCAGCCTCTGTTTAAAAGCTTCCAAAGAAGGAGCCTCCACCACACTCTGGGGCAGAGAGTTCCACTGCTGAACAGCTCTCACAGTCAGGAAGTTCTTCCTCATGTTCAGGTGGAATCTCCTTTCTTGTAGTTTCTTGAATACAAGATGCTGCAAACTATATCTATATCTGCAAACTATTTCCTCTTATCTTAATTAGATCTGTCTTTAAGTTACATATAAATCAACCACATACTATATATGCTTTCCTTAAAAGGTCCAAGCTGTCTTGGATCATAATAAAACAACTATCTTCAATGTTTAAGCTATTCCTCGCCTCCCCTAAAAATTGCTTCCTCCAGTGAAGTTGATAGTATAATTTTAGGGGAAAGCTTTTGCTTATATTTATAGCAAATTTCCAGAAGAAATTCAGCATGTGCCTTAACCTTACCAAGATTAACCTGACCATTCAAATCTTAAAATATTACCTTCAAGTTCTGAGAGTCTCTTGTTTCTAAGCAGTATGAATTTCCTTCAACAGGTCTCATAACATAATTTTACATTGGAGACTCTCAAGACACCCCTTTCCTTAGTATCACACAAGGTGATTCTACACAGACAAATAATGCAATCTGCAACTGGCATCCAAAATGCCAGTTTTGTTCTGCATTGTGGCCTGACAGGGACACCCTGAGCTGTCTCGGTGGTCGATGTCCCTCCTGTTCAGCCACACTGAAGTTAGTGTGGCAGCACTAGGCAGGGACCCAATGTTGCCCCTTCTCCCTCCCCATCACTACTAGCTTAAGCAGTGGTGAGGGTCTCGTGGTCACCAGTTCATCTTCTTCCTTTTGTGTCATATGACTAGCAAAAGAGACTGGGAATAGTGCAGGGCATAAGTCTCCAATTTCTTCTCCCAAGCATCTTTGGCATGGAAAGAGAAACCACTGACCATGAGGTATAGTCCTCTTACCACTCTAGCTAGCAAGAGACGAGGGAAGGGCGTAGGAGGGGATAGCTCCCCCCACATTCCTGCGTCTAGGAGCACAGGATGGCTGGCAGGAACTGGCACCTGGTTCTGCACAGGAACAGGCTTCAATGTGTCCACTGGCAGGATTCAGGATTTCCCCAAAATTATTTTAACCGGGGGGGGGGGGGGCAGCTGCATTAAGTAGCATTCCCTGGGTTAATATGGATCAGCCTGCATGTGTTTTATGGCTGCCCATTGACTGATCTGCCCTTACGTTGAACTAAATGGTCAGTGCAGATGTGTCCAGGGTGCTTTAAATTTTATTCTGGATTTCTTTGCCTGCCAGACAAATGTGCAAATGTATTTCTGCCACTGCACAAAAGTATTCAATTTCTTACAATAGGGATCTGTTTGGTAAAACATTTGGTTTTGTTGTTGTTCATTCGTTCAGTCGTCTCCGACTCTTCGTGACCTCATGGACCAGCCCACGCCAGAGCTCCCTGTCGGCTGTCACCACCCCCAGCACCTTCAAGGTCAGTCCAGTAAAACATTTGGTTTTATTCTATCTAAATTTAACTTTTGCCATTTTTCTACATCTCTTTGGTTTCTTTCCAGACGTGCATTTTTTTCTTTAAAAGGAAACTTTTCCCTTGGCTGCTTGTGTAATCATTCCAATTTGTGAAGGTCAGGCTAGTCCAATTAACATTCATAAATTTGTTTTTATTTTACTTCCAAGTTAACGAGTTGTTATAGAACGTTGACAATAAACTAAAGCCACCTTTCATTTTCCCCATGCTTTGGAGCAGGGCGAATTGACCACTAAATTGCAATCGCTGTACACAAATGGCTATTTACTGTATGTAGATTATTACTGAGAATCCAAGGTTACTTTCTGGTCAGTAAAGTCACATTTTTTTGCAATGTCTTAAAGAGGAATATTGAGCATTTTCACAAATGCTTTTTTTTCTGCATTGCTGCTCCAAATGTCCAAGTTCCAAGTTCTTAAAATTTGTACAGTCTTGATGAATATGATAAACATGACTATGATTTCTTACAAAACAGCCAAGAAGTATTTTTTTTTTAGTTGCCAAGTACACCTTGGTAATTAGAAATTGCCCCATCTAAGCTTCAAAGGTCATGGTTACAGGCAGATATGTGTACAACAAGAATTGCATGCATTCCAGCATTGCCTATGCCCTGTATTTGAAGTTTTGTTGCTAAACACAGCCCCATCAAGTGAAATAGTACTGTATAGTCCAAGGGTTAAGAAGTTAAAGATCAAGCACAGTAATAACCTTGTGTAACCTGTGATTAACATTTCAGCACAATTCTTATCAGAAATCTGTTTCATGTGCTTGCATTCCATTGCTTCTGCACTAACAAAGAAGCTAATAATTATATTTTGCTCAAAACTTGAGTCCATTTAATTTTTCAGAACCTGCTTCAGAATTGTTTCATTTTTGATAAAATTATCAAATACCTTATGGTTATTGAAATGAGAAATAGGGAAATTGTTGTTTCCAGCAGACCCATCACAATACTATCTAAACAAGAAGATCAATGGTACTGAGTGGAAATATTATATTTATACTATCTTTGCATGATGTTATTCACCACATTAAGTTTACTTTAGAATAATTAGAATAAAAATACATTCTTATATTAAATTTATTTCTAAAAATGTGGTACAGTTACTGAAGGAGACTTGTTTCAGAGCATTTTCTTTACAGAAAAATTGACATCAGAGGAGGATATAACATGGAAAGAAATAACTCAAATAGGTTCCTACACTACAAAAAGAACAGCAAGTTTTAAAGTTTCAGCAACATTTTTATTCAAAACTAAGAATGTACAAAGGATAACCCCCAGGTCAAATAATCCTTCATAAGAAATGAAAATATTTTGAACCTTCTCAATACCACTAGAAGATTCCTTCCAAAAATGTACACAGATATGCGTTTTTCTTTCACTCACATCCACTTTTCTTATGAGTTCTATTCTGGTGGACATGCCGGACACACATACGTATCTACTCTCTGTTTTGCTCTTTACATCCTCAGTTAGGGGTTCTGGGTTAGCTGCTGTTCACCTTCCCTGCTGTAGGTGGGCATATACAGCTGAAGAAAGACTAGCTAGTGTAGGATTTCATTCTTTTCCAGCTCGAGCTTTGTTGCATTGTTTACTGAAGACATGCTGCTGCAACTTGGCTCCAAAAATCTATGTTTTGCCCGACCCCTTCCACCTTCCTTGCAATGACAATCCTGTTCATGACTTCCAGCTAAGCAGAGGAAGATGAGTAGAAAAAGGTGGTACTTGTGGATATAAAATGTCTTGTAAAAAGAAGCTTCTTTGCCCAAGGTTTTGTTAACTGAGGTATGCCTGTATATGTTGAATTGGTCAAAAAACTAGGAGGTGGCTGGTGGGAAGCAGATTTTTTTTAAATTTACCATGGGTTTACCGATAAGGCATCCTCTAGTACACAACTTTTCAGACTTTTCCTGTTGGTGAAACACTTTTTAGACATGTATCCTTTCATGTGTTAGAGATCAGGCTGGGTGCTGCAGCCAAAGATGTGGAGGGGGGTGGCAGGGCCT